TGGTGCACTATGGAGGGGCAGAGGGGCAGTGCACGGTGGTGCACTATATCCTAGCACTGTGGAGCGCGCAGAGGGTAAGTACAAGTTCAAGGTCAGTCTGTTCTACAAAATGATATCCAAGTCAGACTCTGCCTTGATAAAAACAAACAAAAAGAAAAACAAGGGAAACCACTTTAAAGAAACAAAAAGCGATAAAGAACATGTTATCTAACCAGGAATTACAAGCTTGAACACTTGCACTGAAACAATTCACGCAGAGCAAAGAGAACACAGCGAAGACTCCAAGGAGCAAAGCTCCTGCCAGCAGGTTGGTTAAGTGAGTACAGCTAACTGGAGAGCATTTCTTATTAGTTTATTTTAAACTATAATTTCTGTGTAACATTATGTATCCTCCTTCATACTTCAATTTTTCAAATTATTCCAAATAATTTTCAAGCTGAACATGAAATATTTCACTTTTGTCTGTTCAAGAAAAACTCTTTGTTCTACTTTTATGTCTTAGTACTCTAATTAATTTCCTCTCTTCAATTTTTTATATTTATTTATTATGTACATATGGTGCAGGCCATGATGTAGCTGGGGGCCAGAGGACAACCTGCAGGCGTGGATTCTCTCCTTCAACCATCTGGGTCCTGGAGACTGTACTCAGGTCAAAAGCCATGGCAGCGAGCACCTTTTCCTGCTAAGCCCCGACCAGCCCTTCTTTGATCTTTGTGTACTGACTTTTATTCTCCTACTGCTCAGGAAAACACCTCATTCAGTGCTGGCAGGAAGACACAAAGTCACTAAGCAGTCACCTGAGCAGGTAAATTTCAATTTTGCTTCCCCTACCATCCATGCCCAGAAAAGCCTTTCAGAACTGCATAACATTAACTGTCCCCATGTTCTTCCCTTCAGCTTAAATGCAAGCATACACTTTAGACAGAGGGCCACCATTTATGCTGTGACACAAATACAATGAAATAGCTAAGATGGCCTGACTGCTCCTTCTTCCTTAAAGATGTGGATCTTGGACGAAGATGCAGACACGCTGTTCTTAAAGGGGGATGGTCTGAGGGATCACAAACCAGGAAGAAAATGCAGAGAAGGAACAAAGAAGACTTCTACTCTGGAGACAGTGGGCCCCAGTGGAGCACCCAGGCTCAGCTAATGGGCAGACAGGTGGGAATGCAGGGCGGAGTTCAGACAGTAAGTCTGGGCACTTATTGGTTTGGGGTACACTCCACCATGAAGAACACGTGCACTTCAGAATGCAAGAGAGAGCGGCTAAAGGACAGCTGTGCAGCTCTGCGGAGCCCAGTGCACTCTGGGACCACTTCCCATGGAGCCTACCTGCATCTGGACTGCAGCAAACCACAGTAACCACGTTCTTAGACGTTTCATTCCTTACAGACTGTAGGCTACAACTGAACTTGAGTCCCAGTGAGAAGACTATGCTCTTCGTTACCGTTGATGCATTTAAGATAAAATGTGGTCCAACAGACACTGCTACCATTTATACTGTTCTGTGACAAACCAAATGGCTACATTTCTTCTTCCAGAGGCCAACAGTATAGTATGGTTGTTCTTTTTAATTTATAATAGAGAAAGAACTGAATTGTTTCCTAGTAGTAACTGAATCTCTCAGAGGTAGGACCAGGAACCCACCCTAGAGGCGGCCGCTAACTGCAGTTGCTTTAGTATCTAGGTCATGACATCCCTAAAGCAACATGTCCTATGCTGTATACTTCTTAAGTGCCATGGCCAGTTCTTCAGACTCAAAGACATCCTGATAACACCAACTCCTTAGCATTTTGTTGCTGTCCCAGATTTCTCAGTGTGTAGCTGAAGAAGCAGGTAGGGCTAGCTGCAGTTTCAGCCAGGACTTAGCAGGGAACCTGGAGATGATGGCGGGGAACTCTTTATTCTACACTTTAAAATTCTTACAGGACAGAAAGTCTTCATCTCCAAGAGCAGATCTTTGGGATTTTTCCTTTTAAAAAAGTATGAGCTGTGTTATTTTTACTTCAGGACCCATATGCTACGAAAGGCAGTAATTAATAGTCTTAGGGACAGGAGGAGCTAGAAGATTACAAGCATAGTGCCTCGCCGGATACGGTCACTCTAAGTCATAAAACACAGCACACAGGCTAACAGAGCAAAGTCAATGAACACGTTAAATGCTAACTGCACGTAAGAGTAAAGTCTGACATCTCATCTTTTGTAAAATCACAATAAAATTATTAACAATACCTAGATGGGGTGGAAAAGAAACAAAAATATGATTTTTACCCAGCATGTACAACTCTCAGGGTGTGGGCAGGCGCACACACACAATGAAAACTGTATCCTGAGAAGACTGTTACACATGTCCTTTCCCATAGGAACATGTCAAAACTGTCAATTCTGTGTTTAATCTAAGACATAATATCAAACAACTAATGAGTGTGAACAATGAAATACTGATATTGCTAACATAATCTTTATAGCTATTAAAGAAATAAAGCATTTAAGCAGCTTATGGAATAATGTTCTCCATCTATTGACTCTTAGAAAGGAACTCATAGTGACAGACGACGATTCCAACAAAACAGCTACCAATTCAAATGGAAAACTCCCCAATCCTACTACAGAAACACTGAAGAAGTAACTCATGAACACAGCTGTGTTTTTCTCTCTAGAAACTCCCTGATGATGAATTAGAAAATATGCGAAAGTTGGTTATCCAAGGAACTGCCAGCACACAGCACTGCTTTCTTTAAGAAAACCGGTTATTTTATTAGGGATATTCTTCCAAGGTGGGCTCTTTCTTTTTCTGTGCTATTCCCCCCCCCCTTTTTTTGGAGGACAGATCCACGTGCTCAGCCACGTCACTGCATGACCGAGCCACCAGTCTGCTTTCTGTCACCGTCCCTGTCCCTGACACGGAACAGCAAACCGACTGCAGTGACACTCTCAACTAAGGAAGGCCGTGACCTGGGGCTAAAATGGATGCCTCCAGAAGTCAATGCCCCTGTAAGGTCTCTCACCAAGAACCAAAGGCAGGGTAAGCACTCCTTCTGTGACAGTCAATCTAACACACAAATTAAAAATGTCGGGGCAAGGGCTGGAGAGATGGCTCAGCAGGTAAGAACACTTGGCTGTGTTGCAGAGGACCCAGGAACGATCCCCAGCACTCGCGTGACATCTAACCCTACCAGTTCCAAGGAATCTGATGCCCTTTTCTGACCTCCTTGGCTACCAACTGAATGAACATGGTCCATAGACATACATGCAATCATATACAAAAGAATGCAAATAAAACACTTTTTAAAATGTTGTGACATTACAGTGTTTCGGGGTAAGAGAGATAACATAAAATTCCTAAAATACTATATTTCAACACATCAACACACTAATGAGAACATCGATAAGCAACATTTTTGTTAAACTAGATTAATCCCATCTCTTAGGTCAGCCATCTGAAGTCACCCACCTACCATTCTCCTTAAAAGCCCTGTGATAAAAGCCATCACAATGAGTTGTGTGACGATCTTCGGCTGTGGGGATGGTGTGTTAGGGACAGAACAACTGTCTTTATGGGACACTGATAATAAAATACCACTGCTTGTGACTACACCTCCCTCCATCTTTATGAAGTTCATTGGAGAGGAAACCAGGTAATTAAACAGCCCTATGAAGATAAGCCCATTACAGTACCTTGGCGGCTTTGTTAACCTTGTCTTCATTTTCTCTCTTATATACAAACACGGAGGCACATTTCCCATCTTGCAGTATGGCGGGATAAACAGAAAGCCCAGAGGGCAAGGTGAATGGTGATTCTTTCAGTGTATAGCTCTTTAAAGCACTGTTCTCTGATCCCATCCCTTTTGCAGTGAGGCAAAATCAAGCAGGTCTAAAACACAGGAGAAAACAAATGAAAACCTTACATATCTCTCTGCAATATAAGCCAATCTGGCTCTCCAGCTCACACCGAAATGTCCATTCAGACTTACGTCATTTCTGCAGTGGTGACAGCTTCACTTGATATCACAAATGGTCAACGAACATCAAGTTATCAGGAATGCTTGTTAATTAACAACTAACAACTCCAGAGAAAATGTGTGTCACCAAATAGTCACAGGTACTTCCTTCCCCAAACCCAATCACACACAAATTTTATAAAGGCTTGTAAAACTTTGCAGTTAAAAATAAATAGTCTTAGACAGTGGTAGTGGCTCAGCACTTGGGAGGCAGTCAGGTTGGTCTCTGAGTTCAAGGCCAGTCTGGTCTACAAAGTGAGTTCTAGGACAGCTGGAGTTCACAGAGAAACCCTGTCTTGAACCCCTCACCTCCCCAAAATAGTCTTTGTATAAATACAAACCTAATAGTCATGACACAAATCTCTCTTGACTTAGATTTTCCTTCCACTTGAAGAGCCACAGAATAATTTGTTATCTATGTAATGATGCTTAAAAAAGCAGCCTATCATAGGATTTAAAACACGCACAGATGTACACACTTCTACACGAGGAACACAAAATGCACTAGGGCAAAAAGCTACAGAAAATTAGTTTTTCAAAATCTAAGACTGTCCGTAGGTAAGAACTAACTTTGTTGTTTAGCAAACGCACTGAGCTCTTACGTCCCTAGCAATTTATCTTTCTTAGGCTCAGGGATAATTGAGGAAGAGAGGGCTTGTAAAAGCCAGAGGAGCAGGAAGTTTGCTGTGGTATTGTATCTACTAGAAAGTCAAAGAGGTGATACCATCCAGTCTCATTAACATGCCTGTCTAACTAGACCTGAACGACGAGGACCCCAATGGACATGCTAACATGAAAGGATGAAAGTTCACCCAACCCTAACCCTAGCCAAAGAACTACAGCAGCTGGGGGAAGCTGACAATCAGAAGTCTTCTTCCAAAGGGAAGAGTTCCCAATTGCATGTCCAATAGCAAGTGGTCAACCCTGACATCATATATATATATATATATATATATATATATATATATATGTAACATTGTACACACTGAGCAGGTTGTATTTATGCATTTAGGAACACACACACCAATTAAAGAAAAAGAGACCATGAATTTGAGAGAGCAATGGGGAGGGGGATGCATGGGAGGGTTGGCAGGAGAAAAGGGAAAGAGGGCAATGAGATAATTAAGGTCTAATTTCAAAATATATATAAAAAGAAGTGACATTAAGAACAATGTCAAAATATCCAACAGCCTCAGTTATAAGAAGCACCCACTTTTGACTGGAACAACAGACAAAAACAGTTCACGCAGGATAATGGAGAAAAGCAACTCTGTTCGTCTGGGGATTCAGCAGTGCTTGCTCAGTGAGGGCCTTCCTCCTGCTGCCTGGCCAAAGTCAATGACTTGTTTCCGGTCAATGAGCAGTCAACTCACAGACTCTTCAGTGTCCGCATCCGGAATGAAGGCACAGACTCACCAGAACAAGGCAAGGCTTTTCTCTGTCACTAGTAACACATCTGAAGCTGGAGGGACCAGGAGGTGGAGACTGGGGCAGCAGAAGGTGGAACTGGAGCTATGGTGAAGGAAGGCCAAGGGGGAGCCAAAACTTGGTTGCACCGAGGTAGTTGAGTGGTAGTGGCATAACCAACTCAGGCTGGGGGAAGGGCAAGACACACACCCGCAGCACCCCCATCTCAGACCTGTCTCAGGGCTGGAGGATGAGCAGCTGGTTTCTAATCCAATTCCTTCACTGATTAACTCTTAGAGTCTGTAGCTTTTCTGACTGGCCTACGCTCTTCGAGCGTATACCAACTGACATTTCCACTCTAAACCCTGCTTGAAACACCATAGGCATGAGTTAGGGAAGGGTTATTTTGAAGAGTAGGTGGAGCGGGCCTGCATTCTTGGTTCATTCCAAAACGAAACTTTTCAATATCAGCAATCAATAAAGGAAAAACAGAGCAAGGAACTACAAGGAGGTGACTGTCTGCGGGCAGGAAGTCATGCTCCTGAGTTTCATTGTTAGTTCTCAAGATTCATGAGCTATGTTATCCAAGGCAAGGACAATGGACATTTAAGTTATTCATTCTCAATAGTAAAACAGGTCCTTGTTGGAATACCGGTCTTTACAATATCTATTAACCTTTAATTCAGCATTATAAGTACAAGCATGATAATAACTTTAGATTTACAAAAGGATTAGAAAGATACTAAAGCTGGTCATTTCTCACAGCAGTGTATTGCCTATGACCCTAAAAAAAATCACTTTAAAAAAGGGATGACTCCGTTTCTACTGGGGAGAACGGAATGCCTTGTGCTGCTGTTGTTGTCCTGAAAGCTTGGCAATGCGGAGAGCTGTCTGCTGACACCGTCTACTGTGAGGTTGGATGAACAGCAGAGCGCTATGCCCAGTGCAGCAGGGAAAGGTACTGATGACTGGATTTGGGAACACCCTAAAGACTGGGTCTTCCCACCACGGTAGGGGCAGGAACGCTATTGACATAACCAGTGCTTTTAAAACTGAGAACATAGCGGAAAGGAGCGTATTGGAATGCAAGGCATAAGTAACACTCCGAGCTCCAAATATTCTTTCTTGGTTTCGGGAGTGTGGAGGAAAATATGAAATAGTGCCACATAGATTTGAAACGGAACGTCACACGTAGGTAGAAAAGGATATTCTAAATGGCATAGACAATTTACAGAATACACTTCTACTTTCTATAATAAAACGTTGAGTTGACAGTCTCCTCGGATGTGAATATACACAATAGCTATCTTTATAAAAAAAAAATCGTTTACCTATTTCCCTCCAACCTTCTTTCTTTGGAAGCTTCAGAAGGGACCACCTGTGGCTGGGAAGCACCCCTGCCTAGTTCACCGGACAACTTCTAGACTCAACCATAAAACCTATGTCCTCTGAGAAAAACCTGTCTCTGCTAGTTCTCCCAACAATCAGCAGGGATTCTCTTGGCTCCCGTTTCCTTAGCTTCAAAGAGCCAAAGCTTACACCATTACCCCGAGAATCCTAAGACTATGTCTTATCCGATGGCACTTGGCTCTTGGGTGATAAACCTAGCAGTCCTGTGCTTTGATGGGTTTCAGCCATGGACGTTCGCGGTCAAGAACTCAAACCACAGTGCTAGGTGATCATGTATGTAGTCTCTGCGGTCTAAAAGTACCTGACCTCAGCTCAGGATGCACACGAGTCCCTCAAACCAGCGGTAACTATGATCCCCAATTTCTGCCCCCTCTCCAAAAAATGACTTTGGGAGATAAGCGTTATCTTTATTCTACGCATGAAGCCCCTGGGGGCCTGGCGCTGTCTGGGACCCTGCACCGCGAGACCTTCCCGCTTAGACTCCAGGCCCGGCCGCTCCGCTCTCCGCCGGCCTCGGCCGGACGGCGGGGGTCACCCGAGAAGCCAGGGAGAGGGCACCCCGAACACGCCGGAACAGGCGGCGCTCAACCGGCCGCCCCAGTGCTCCCCGCGAGCGGCGACCCCGCTCCCGCCCTAACCCGGTAAAGAACTCAAACCACAG